TTTTATATAGGGCCTACAGTATGCCAACAGGGTAGCTAAGTGGTACATCGGAGAGAGCAGTGGGCTTGGAATCAGGAAGACCCATGTTCATAAGTTCAAATCCAGCCTCAGACACTTACCAGCTGTGTGACCCTGGGCAAGTCATTTAACCCTGTTTGCTTCAGTTTCCTCATCTGTAAAATGAACTAGAGAAGGAAATGGCCAACCACTCCAGTATCTTTGCCAAGAAAACCCAAATGGGGTCTTGAAGAGTTGGATGTGACTGAAACAACTTAATAACAACAACAGAATATTCTCCATGAGAAGACAACCCAAGAAGCATGGATACCTCTCAAGAGTGAGACTAGAAGCAATTTCATTGAGGCGTAAAAGAGGAAGGTTTTAAAAGAGAACAACATGGATGTACAAGAACTTAATCAACGTAAACTGCATATGTGTAACAGATAGAGACAAGGGTAAGTAATGGAGGATGGATAAGAGTATTAGTGCTCAGAATGACTCAAAGGTAGAGATGAATACCAAGGATCAAAAGGGATATTTTAGTGTCCTAACATATAGATTTAGAACTAGAGGGGAGTTTAGAGGTCAGAGAGTCCTTACCCTCATTTTATAGATAAGGAAACCAAGAAGTTAAGTTACTTGACCAGAATCTCACAACTAGCCAATGTCACAAGAGGGAATTGAACCCAAGTTTTTCTGACTCAAGGTCTAATGCTCAATCCACCCCAGTGCTGCCTCTCTGAGTCATGTTGGGGAAAAACAGAGGTACTAAATAAGCGTGGTAGGAGGGTAAGTGATCAGTTAGGTGGCTCAGTGGATAGCATGCCAGACCTGAAGTCAGGAAGACATCTTCCTGAGTTCAAATCTGGCCTCTGAGGCTTCCTAGTTGTGTGACCCTGGGCAAGTCTCTTAACCCTGTTTGCCTCAGTTTCCTCATCTGTAAAATGAGCTGGAGAAGGACATGGCACACCACTCCAGGATCTCTGTCAAGAAAACTTCAAATGGCGTCACGAAGAGTCAGACACGACTGAAACAACTAAACAACAAAAAAGGAGGGTAAATCAGAATAGAATTCCTTCTCCTTGGCAGAGAAGACAGAAGCATACATAAGAATTGAGTAGTTCATTTCATCATCTGTTGTCACTAGATGGATGTCCCATTCATTCTATTTGTTGGGCTCTAGGTCATGAATTGACAATCAATTTTCTCAGATGTTATTGTAATATAAAAAAGAATACATTACCTACCCAACCCCTAGTCTACTGTGATTACAGATCCTCTTGCTATACAATGACCCATAGCTGGACATTCGAGCATTTAAGATGCTTCTGTTAGTCAGCCAGATTGTCTCCTAACCCTCTGTCCTCTCAGATGTGAAGAAGTAAGTAGCATCCTGTTCTTAGCAACATGTTTGAAGGTTGAAAAATTCTGGGGTCACATACTGGACTTGAGCTTCAGGCACCCCACCAGTAACTAGAATAGTCGTTCAATTGTTTCAGTTGTGTCCAACTCTTCATGACCCCATTTGAGATTTTCTTGGCAAAGATACTGGAGTGGTTTGCCATTTCCTTCTCCAGCTCGTTTTACAGATGAGGAAACTGAGGCAACCAGGTTAAGTGACTTGCACAAGGCCACACAGCTAGTAAGTGTGTGAGGCCACATTTGAACTCAGGTCTTCCTGACTCCAGTCTCAGTGCTCTATTAACTATACCACCTAATTGCCCCAACTAGAATAGGAAAAAAAAGTGAATATTCCACTTTACTTCACTGTGCTTTTAATGCAGGAGTACCATTGTTAAACCACCTTGACTTTTGTAAGATTCATACTTTATTGCACAAGAGAATGGGGAAGTGAACAGTCAGGTTAGGCTCTGAAGTTGTGACTGCTCAGCTGGGGTAGTCTGGGATTTCTCTCCCATTCCCTTCCACTACTGTTGGTGGGATATGTGGTCACTGTACTTCCAGGGAAGGCTGTTGAGAACTTACATGTTGAACTGTAATTTTCATAGTTCTCTTGTGTGATCCGTGATCGGGCACTGTGTCACACCACAGCCAGGATACAGAATAATTCTAAGAGGGTATCTGAGCTATAAAGTGTCTTGTAAATAAACCGAGGTATTCTAGGCTACTAGTACTCTCCTATAACTGAGCTCTGTGTCCTATCACAAGGGAAGATTATCTGCCGGTAGGTATCTTTATGACACCTATGATTTATGTATTCAAACGGAGTCCCATGACACAATTCACAGAAATGATATAGCTGTTAACAATGTCCAAAAAACCCAGAGGCAGAATCTCGTTAGAATTAATCACTAGTCTCTGTGCCCAACGTCACACGGTCATGTTGGGTCATGTTTAACTCACATGCCTCCTCCTAGAGCTGTTGATCTCCCAAATGTGATTCTTTTCCTGTAGAATATTTTTTAATGCACCAAAGTCATTAGCTTGATCTGAATTCCAGACTTAATCCCTCTTTTTGTATTCTATTTTACGATCTCTCTCTCTCTCTCTCACACACACACACACACACACACACACACACACACACACACACACACCTCATGTGAAAGGCAGCCAGGATCAGGGGATTTCTTTGGGCAGCTACTGTTCATCATTTTCTATCACTAACAACAGCAACATATATTGAGCACCTACTGTGGTGTCTGGAAAACCAAGAAGAAAATTATGGGGAGAGAACTCAGACGCTGACATACCTAGGCTGTAAGTACAGAAACCAAACATCATTTGATATAGGGGATAGTCTTAATCTCAAGAAAGGAGATTCTACTTCTAAATAAGATTTTTCCAAAGGAATATCTTTTGCAAGATCATGTCTCACATTTTTTCAATTAAGAGTAGGGAATATTTAATTATATATTATATATACATACATTAGTGTGTAGAAACATACAAATACATATAAGTCCACTAAATATACAAGTATATAAAATATACGTGTGTGTATCCTCCATACATACATATGCAGATTACACATTCAAATTATATTCATACTCTTTATGTGTAAATATATCATGCCATCAATTGGGGAATGGCTGAGCAAGTTGTGGTGTATGAATGTAATGGAATACTATTGTGCTATAAGAAATGATGAACAGGCTGACTTTAGAAAAACCTGGAAAGACCTGTATGGTCTGATGCTGAGTGAAGTGAGCAGAACCAAGAGAATGTTGTACACAAAAACAGCCACGTTGTGCGATGATTAATATTGATAAACTTAACCCTTCTCAACAATACAAGAACGTAAGACATCTCCAGAGGCCTTGTGATGGAAAATGCTATCCACATCCAAAGAAAGAACTATGGAAGTTGAATTGCTATCTTTTTGTTTTCTCTTCTGTTGAGTTTTGTTTCCTCTTTCTGATGGTTCCTCCTATTGGTTTTAATTTTTACTTACAACTTCATTAATGTGAAAATATGTTTAATAGGAATGTAAATATATAGCCTATATCAGATTGTGTGCCATCTTGGGGAGGGTGGTAGGGAGGAAGGGAGAGAAAATTTTAAACTCGAAAGCATATGGAAGTGATTGTTGATAAATCAAAATAAATTAATAAATAAAAAAGTAAATATATCATGTTATCTGGATACATGTATTTATGATATTAAATGTATTATATAGACACATTTATCAATATTATATATATATATATATATATATATATATATTTCATTCAACTCCCATTTGGAAGAGAATTTTGTTAACCTTGTGACAAAACTATTTTATCTATCAAAAATGTTGTTAATTTTTCTGTTCAAATGAGAGTTTTTTATGGTTTTCTTCGAAAATACAGTTTCTGGAATAAGCTAAGATTTTTATAACTCTAGACTGGGCATCAAAAGCAAGTCTCTTCTTTGTTAACAATTCTTTTCAAAATTCATTTCACAATTAATTTTTAAAAAAAGAAAAGAAAAAAGGGGCAGCTAAATGGTGCAGTGGATAGAGCACCAGCCCTGAAGTCAGGAGGACCTGAGTTCAAATCCGGCCTCGGACCAAACACTTGACACTTAGTAGCTGTGTGACCCTAGGCAGTCACTTAACCCCATTTGCCTAAAAATTAAAAAAAAAAATTCAGTTCACAGAAGTTTCCAGTTAACTTAATCAAAAGAGAAGTGGGGAGCTTGGATGAGTCCTCTCCAAAAATGATATAGTCAGGTTTCAAGAAACTTTCTTCTGTTAGGAAAAGGTAGTCATGGGGTTCACATAGAGAGTCACTTGAGATGATCATCTTTTTCAACTTCCGCCACATATGAGAAAGCAGGAACTGAGAGCAGGGAATGACCAGAACCTTGTCTCACTGGCAAAAGACAAGATTGGAGCCATATGACTTTGGGCAAATCACAGCAACCCTCTGGGAATTATCTCCCTTATCTGTAAAATAAGAAAATTGGATTAGATAGTCTTTCAGGACACTCTTACAGATCTAATAATCTAGGGAAAAGTTACCAAATTGAACTTGTGTTTACTGCTTTATGCCTTGCTCCCTATATGTTATCTTTTAATATTATAATTAATATTAAATAGTATTAAATAATGATAATACATAATTAATATTTTTAATAGAGTCTGCTAATCATGGTTAAGATTATTATGGTTACTCTTTTCATAAAGAATTCTGGTTTCTTTGCCATGACATTAGATGGAAACTATATTATTCTCATCTTAAACCATGTGCTTTCTCATGTGGATCATGTATCATACAACCACAGGATATGTGACTCAGGGCAAGTTATTTAATCTGTCTCAGATTCAGTTTCTTCATCCTTAAAATGGGATAATAAGAGTACCTACCTCACAGGACTGCTGTGAGTAGCTAATGGGGTGACATATGTAAAGTTCTTTGCAAACCTTAAAGTGCTATGTACTTTTAACTATTATAATTATAAACTCCTTACTTTGAGTTTAACCACTAGCCTTTTACCGATATAAAGCGGATGATAGGAAAATGGCCACACTGACTTTGTCTTTTTCTTTCCCTCAGGTATAATTTTCGAGGGTTTCGATGGTTACAAGCAATGATTTTTGCCATTGAGGAGATAAACAGTAGTCCTGCTCTTCTTCCCAACATGACTCTGGGATACAGGATATTTGATACCTGCAACACAGTTTCCAAAGCCCTAGAGGCCACACTGAGTTTTGTGGCCCAGAACAAGATTGATTCCTTGAACTTGGATGAATTCTGCAACTGCTCGAGCACATCCCCTCCACCATCGCTGTGGTTGGTGCGACTGGCTCTGGCATATCCACGGCTGTGGCAAACCTGCTGGGACTGTTCTATATACCTCAGGTACTGGGCCTTCTTGGGTAGCTCTGTTGGGAGAGGTTCATGCAAAGTCAGTGAAGACATACTTGCTAGGAACATTCCATCTGCATGTCTGATTTTGAGCCATTTGAGGACTTGGTTAGAGCCCTATATGATGGTAATTACGCCAAACTACAAAGTTATCTTCCAAATTAAACACGTTATTGTCATTAAATACCTGTGTGATTTGGGGCAAGTCATTTACTCTATTTGGGCATCAGTTTCTTCCTTAGTAAAATGAGGGATTAGATTAGAAGACCTATAAGGTTCTTTCCAGCTGTAAATTTATGATTCTATGATGATCCTACTTGGGTATGGCTTCACCCTTCATTATGCACCAACCTCAAGGGTCCAATGGTTCTGAAATTTCCTTGATGTGAATAGTCCTAATAGCAACGAATATAGTGCAGTCACGCATGCCCATCCCATAAGACTCTTATTTATATCCTCCAATATGTTTGCAAGTACAGAATGGCACAGTTATATATGTCCACAAATCTAGATCAGTTCAAATGATCTCAAGTGAACATGCCTTTTAGGCAACAATGAAAACAGAGTCTACCCAGAGAACAATTTGGCATTGCAATCACATGAAATTTACAACATAGTTAATCTAACACATATTTAATGATAATTATCATCCCCGTGCTGCTTCATGATGTCTAGTCATGAATGGTTATCGGTTCATGCAAATGATTAAAATGAGCATTACATTTAAATGGTCAAGCTAAACATTGGACAGGGCAGCAGAGAATGGCAGAGTGCTTTTGGCTTCCTGTGAGGACCCTTCATAATCCAGGGATGCACCTTCATTGGCTAGTAGACGGTGCCAACATCCCAGAAGTTCTATGAGCCCCTGGCTAATAGGTGCAGCCATCCGCAAGTGTTTATGAAGAATCAAATATCAGACCAGGCAGACTAGGCATCAGATTCCACCGAGGAAGTGTGTGGGGAGGTGAGGAATGCTGAAATAATGGCCAATTCCTCCCCCCAACAAGAAAAGTGGTTGAGGAAGGGTCCTGAAGAGACAAAAGATCACGTAATTTCTTTTGCTCTTCCTTCTTTTCCCATCATTGATAAGGAAAGATACTACATACAAAAACTTACCTCTATAATGACCAAAATTCTAGTAGTTAGAGAAATATTTGTGCATTGAGAAGTTAAATGACTTGCATAGAATCATATTGTCAGTAAGTGTCAGTGATAGGACTTGAACTCAGGTCTTCCTTACTTGGTGACATAAAAGCATAAAGGGGAGGATTCCCAGCTTTGGAAACTTATGAGGCAGTATGGCATGGTAGATAAAGCACTAGATTCAGAGTCAAGAAGATCTGAGTTCAAATCCCCCTTCATATACTTAGTAGCTATGTGGCCCTGGACAAGTCATCAACTCCCTTTTGCCTCGGTTTTCTCATCTGTAAAATGAGGAAGCTTGACTCAGTGGCCTCTAAGATCCCTCCTAGCTCAAACTCTCTGATCTTATGAGGCAGCATAATATCACACTTGATTTTTCTTATCCATTTTCTCACCTGCCCAGGGACAGCAGCTGTGGGGAACCCTTTGTAAACTTTAATGAGTCCAAATTTTCTACTTTTATGTTAGGAGTTTAACTGCCTACAGAAAATAGCCCTGAGTGTTCACATTGTGCTAAAATAGGTTATCTTCCTTTTCATCCTATCCACAAATTTAACTTCAAATCAAGATCATCACCCTGTAAACTAGATTGGTTGATAACTCAGTGAATTTTTGATTCATTTATCTAGTATCCTTTTTTAATTGTTGTTTGTTTGTTTGCCCCAGGTCAGCTATGCATCGTCCAGCAGGCTCCTGAGCAACAAAAACCAGTACAAGTCTTTCCTCCGGACCATCCCCAATGATGAGCACCAGGCCACTGCGATGGCAGACATCATCGAGTATTTCCGCTGGAACTGGGTGGGCACCATCGCTGCAGATGATGACTATGGCCGGCCAGGGATTGAGAAGTTCCGAGAGGAGGCAGAAGAGAGGGACATCTGCATTAACTTCAGTGAGCTTATCTCCCAGTACTCTGATGAGGATGAGATACAGCACGTGGTGGAGGTCATCCAGAATTCCACAGCCAAAGTGATTGTTGTCTTTTCTAGCGGCCCTGATCTGGAACCTCTCATCAAGGAGATTGTCCGTCGTAATATCACAGGCAGGATATGGTTGGCCAGTGAGGCTTGGGCCAGCTCCTCACTCATAGCCATGCCTGAGTTTTTCCATGTTATGGAGGCACGATTGGGTTTGCACTTAAGGGAGGGCAGATTCCAGGGTTCAGGGAGTTCCTTCAGAAGGTACATCCCAAGAAGTCAGTTCACAATGGTTTTGCCAAGGAGTTTTGGGAAGAAACATTTAACTGTCATCTCCAGGAAGGTTCTAAAGGGTCTCTATCTTTAGACTCCTTTCTGAAGAATCGGGAGGAAGGGGGCAGGAGCCGGCCTAACAACACGACCACCACCTTCCGTCCTCTGTGTACTGGGGATGAGAACATCACCAGTGTTGAGACACCATACATGGACTACACCCATTTGAGGATATCTTATAATGTATACCTGGCTGTCTACTCCATCGCCCACGCCCTACAGGACATATACACCTGCTCACCTGGGAAAGGACTCTTCACCAATGGCTCCTGTGCAGATATAAAAAAGGTTGAGGCTTGGCAGGTAAGAAGTCAGCATAAAATACAGTTCTGTGTGTCTAAGTCCAAATTTGTCTAGCCCAGAGAAGTAAGATCATGTGAACATTTCACAAAGGCAATTCCCATATGGGACCACTGACCAAACCTCATGTTTTCAGTCAAATTGTTTCTTCCTTAAGGTGTAAAGACATCTTAACAACCAGTTTCTATAAAACAATCGGCTACTACATAGTGTTAGTATATTAGCTAAAACCACTATATTTCATTGTGGAAGTTTTTAATGTATAGACATGGCCAGCGTCTAGCTTCCAAAAAGTTTTTTAGTGTCCTAGGACTGTGTCAGTGCCCACAAGGATGTTTTTTATAATACTTTAAACCAAGGGTTCTTAATTGGGTCATGGACTCCTTTGGTAATTTGGTAAAGCATATGGACCCCCTTTTCAGCACAATGTTTTTAAATGTGTGAAATACATAGAATTACAAGGAAATCAATTCTATCGAAATACAGTAATCAAAACATCTTTAAAAACAAGTTCATAGATCCCAGGTTAATTACCCTTGCCTTAAATAGAATTAAAGATATTAGGTTATTAGGTTGACTTTATTAGGATTGTATTAGGATATTTGATTGACTTTCAATCAACAAGTATTTATTCCAGTACCTCGATTATAATACGCTCTTTGAAAATATTTGAGGAATGAACAAATGAATGAAAGAATGAATGAATGAACATTTGCTATATTCCTAGCATTGTGCCACATACTATAGGTTATAGTATAAGACCTCATATTTATAAAATGATTACCAAAGAAACCAATAATATTGAAATACAATTATCAAAATATTTATAAAAAAAAAAAACAAATTCATGTACCCTGGGTTAAGTGATCTCTAATAATCTTAGAGGGCAGATAGGGGGCACAGTATACAGAGTGCCAGGCCTGGAGTAAAGATGACCTGAGTTCAAATCCAGCCTCAGAAACTTACTAGTTGTGTGACTGGGCAAGTCATTTAACCCTGTTTACCTCAATTTCCTCATCTGTAAAATGAGCTGGAGAAGGAAATAACAAATCCTTTACTATCTTTGCCAAGAAAATTCCAAATGGAGTGATAGAAAGTCGGACATGACTGAAACAATTAAACAACAACAATAAGAATGTTAGTTCTGTTATTCTCTGATAAGAGTGACATTAAGCAAGTCTGTCTAAAAAGTGTGTAGGTTGGAATAAAAGGAGATAAGGAGAGTGAGTTATTTGGAACAGAGAATGGACCTGATCCAGAGTGCAGTGGGAAGAAGTCCTCAATGTAGTGGCGGAGAAAGGTGGGTAAAGCAGTGGGCAGAGAAAACAACTCTGGAAGTTGCATTAACGATCAATTGAAGAGAGCTAGTGTCTAGGAAAAGGTTGTTGAGTGGCCCCTCTCTGCTGGCCAGACAATGAAATTTGGTCTTCCTTTGCCCACAACTGAAATGTGCTTCCTCTTCCCCAGTCTTTATCCATAATCTGCTTCAAATGCCCTCTTTCCTGATTACCCATATCCTCTCTAATCACCCCCCCCCCCCGCTTGGCATCCCTTTCAGTACTCATGTATTTAACTTATACAACAGTAGAATTTCAATTAGCTGGAATGTTCTGGTTAAAAGATGATTAACCTTTTTGCTTTAACTTCTGTTGCTCACATTTTTTTCTCTAACATACATTAGTTTACTTTGCTGCCTTACTAGTAATACAGTCCAGGCATCGCTCTACATTTTGAAGGTCTAACTTAAAGAAACATTCACACATAAAATTGGCCACTTGTATATTGTCTCCCGTGGGTTTCTCTCTATGTAGATCTTTCTCTTCCTTTTTGCCTCTTATGTTATATTTAGCAACCAAGCTGTCCCGGGATGATAGTTCCACCTGGTAGCTAGCGCAGGGGATTATTTCATTCAAGAAAACCCTTCCTCTTTTCCCCAGCAGGATTTTGCATACTCTGCTCCCTCTGCTAGCCTAATGAAAACGTGCAGTAACCAGCCAGAACAGGCAACAAGACCCAGAGCTAAGTGAGAGAGAATTTCTGGGGAGATGCTTTTAGCATTGGGCATGTGAGGGAATGGAGGTGCACTTAGGATCAGCAGAAAAGGAAGAGATAATTGATACTGGGTCAAAGAATTGACACTGTCCTTTCCTTTCTATACATTGTAGGCACAGGATTGGAGTTGAAGAAATAGGTAGGAGAGTCAGGGTGGGAATTATTCATAACTTTACTTTTTACTTTCTATGCAGAATGATACACTGGAAAGAGTACCGGTCCTGATGGGTTCAAATTCCACCTCAAACCTTTACTGTCTGTGTGACTTTGGATAAGTTACTTTATTTCCCAATGCCTCCCTTTGCTCATCTGTAAAATAAAGGGGCAGCTAGGTGTCACAGTGGGTAGAGTATCAGGCCTGAAATCAGGAAGACTCATCTTCCTGAGTCCAAATCCAGCTTCAAATGCAGGGCAACCCTGGGCTAGTCACTTAATCTTGTTTGCCTCAGTTTCCTCATCTGTAAAATGAGCTGGAGAAGGAAATGGCAAACCACTCCAGTCTCTTTGCCAAGAAAATGCCAAATGGGGCCACAAAGAGGCAGACACAACTGAAAAACAACTAAACAAAATAAAGAAGCTGGACAGGGTGGCCTCTGAGGTCCTTTAGGTTCATGGGCCTGTAATCCTATGATTTTATCCATCTGAGGGCTTTCTTTCCCTCTTTTGGGAAAAAAGATGCAGGCTCTCTAATAGTAACATTGTTCTTTTCCTCAAGTCAATAAGCATTTATTAAGTGCTCACTGTGTGTCTGGCACTGTGCTAAGTACCAAAGGAAAACAGTTTATGTGAACAGGAGTTCTTGGACAGGTATGAGGGACCTCAGCCTGTAAACCTCATTCAGTCCTCAGTTTTGTTTCATCTTGTTAACCTAACGGAAGAAAGAAACCCAGTGGAGGCAGAGAAAATGCAGGGAGTACTGTGTTTTACAGGCAAAGGAGGCTATGCCTTTCTTCTGCCACCACTAGTGAGAGCAGCTGGGCCTGTTTCTGTGGTACTGCCAGGACTGCTGGAGCCAGGGATTGGTGCATCTTTAGACAAAGCTGGCCAATGCAATCCTTTGACTTGCAGAAAGGGCTCATTATGCAGGAGAGTTCATAGGGTCATAGATTTAGAGCCGGAAAGGGCCTTAGAGACCATCTTCCCCACTTTACAGATGAGGAAACTGAGGCCCAGACAGATTAAATGAGAGTAGGCATCAAGTAGTGGCAAGAGGCCCCAGCTGTGTTTTTTGTGTGTCGCTAGATGTTCACCAGCTTGCCTCCCAGGGAATTCTAGCTAGGGGAGGTCTGTGATGCCTAGTCAGTGAGGCATTACGGTGTGTCCCCTGTGTCTATGTACGCTAAGGGAAGGGGACTCTGATGAAAAACCTGCCCCATATCAGCAGAAGCATAACCCTTGACCACACTTTCCGACTCACTACCCTACCCCGATGGCCTGGCAATGCCAAAGGTCCGAAAACCCTTGTGGTCAGAGGTCAGGGATCGTTGACATATTGATAGGACATAAGCTCCTTATTTCATTTTGTGTTTGTATTTTCAGAAACTGCCTGGCACTTAGAAGGTACTTAATGAGTTTTTGATTGATTGGAGCAAGTACCAAGAGATGCTTCTGATTTATGATTATTGTTATGAACAAAACCTAGTTTGAAATCTTTGGGAGCAATACCACAAAAGCCCAGAAGATAGAAATGTTACTTCGTGGCTCTGTGTCTATGTGTATCCGTGCATCTCTTTTTTCCTTTGTCTGTATGTCTTTGTTTCTGCATATAGACATAAGTCTAGTTATATTGTCTCTGTTGGACTTTTTTTAAAATCAAAGTTGTATCGATGCCTTTTATTTTTTCATTTAGTTTATTTCTAAATTAACCTCCTCACTCTGCCTCCTCCAAACATCCACCAAGTGAACCTTCCCTTGTAACTAAAACAAAACAAAATAACCAAGGCATCTGTCATCTGACAGTCTGTGTGAAAAGCTTTACCCAGTGCCTCACCTCTACCAAGAGAGGGGAGTGGCCTATTTTCTCATCTCTTCTGCAAATTTAAGATTAGTCAGTTAAAATCACATAGCACTTAATGTTCTTTTTATTTACATAATTTTGGTTGTGAATCTTGTTTTCCTGATTCTGCTTATATTACTCTGTTATCAGTTCAGGTAGTTCTTCCTATTTCTTCAAATTTCTTATATTATTTATCATTTTTATGGCACAACAATATTTCATTCCCTTGATATGCCAAAATTTGTCCAGCCACTTCCTAATTAGCATATACCTACTTTATTTCCAATTTTTTGCTGCCACAAAGAGTGCTACTATGAATATTTTGTTACATATGGGACTTCCTCTCTTATCTCTTTGGGAATCTTAGGGTCAAAGGGTATGAACATGTTGATGTACTTCTCTGGCTAGCAGCTGTTAAGCTTTGAAATGTAGGGAAAAGGCTGGCGATTAAGCCTGGTAGGTAGGTGTGATTCTAACTACTCTGAGTGGGGAACTGGCCTAATGCTTGGTCTTACACACAGGGTGATGGTACTAGGAATTCTGAACCCCACCAGGTGTCCAAGGCTGGCCAGGTACAGGCTAGAACAGAGGCCTAGACTGACTCTTCAATAAAGAAGTCGGGAAAGAAGGGGCAGGCCAGTTTAGAGGGAACATAGGTGGGAATCAGCCTCAGGTAGATAATGAAACAAACAGGTGTGAGGTCAACAAGCCTTTTCAGGACTTGAGAAACCACGGAGGGCTGTGAATCTAGTGCTGATCTGAGGTCGAAGTAGATAACTGGGACCTCTCCTCAAAAGGTGAACTGAGGTAACAGAAAGTGAGGCAGGGGACTTTGCATAGCCCTCCCTCACTCAGATCCAATTCACTTGCATGTCATGGCATCACCTCCATGATGTCATGGTCCTCTTCCAGAAGGAAGGACAAACAACAACCCTTAACATCAAGCCTGGATGGT